TAGAAGTGCCCCTGAAAAATATACAGAAACTTCCAAATAAATTGCTAGGAATTATAACCTTCTCTTTCCTATTCCAGGGATCAATTTCCAACATGCCGCTGACACCAACACATACACTATAACTCACTTAAGGACAATAATGTTGGTGCTGTACACTGCAGTGAAAAATATAATTTTAGGTCACAGTCCTCCAAGAGTTATGTACATGCTTCATTTTACTCAGCGTGAGTAATCCCATCGACTTCAATGCGACTATTTGTGTGTTCAACATTAAAAACACGTGCTTATGTCTTTGCAGGACTGGTGCCTTACAAAGTCTACGAACACTTACGTAAACCCGCACTATACAATCAGGACATTTTATAATGCCAAAAAGATAATTCACACAAACATTTTTACAATTTAGTGTACCCTAAAGGACCCTGGATACCCCTTTCAAAACCCTTAATACATACAATATATAAAACCAACAACATACATCCAACAGCATATTGCCAAGGCAACAGAGTAAAGCTAAAGTTGGGTAGGTATTCAGCAATGGTGAGCAATGAAGGATTAGCTGCCTGGTTCCTTTTACTGCTCAGTCATTCGAACATTGGGGGGGCTTGAGTTTGTTTTTAAAAGGAGCGTAAGTGCTATAAAAAAAAGAAGTACTATTTTCAGGCGCTAGCTGGACTCCACTGAAACTCACTTTCAACCTTAATTTTTTTTTGCTTGTGAACATATACATATCACAAACCACCCAAGGGGTGACCCATATTGTTATGGCCATTCATTGGACCCTTAACCTGTATTTCATTTCCTGTCATAAAATCCATTTTATAAATATTACAAAAATATGAAGTTACTTTATAAAAGAAACAGTTTATAAAATTTTACATTTATAAAGTATACCTGATTCTGGCCACTGGCCTGATAGTCAAGAATATATTTAATTCAATTCAAGAAGGATGTTGATAATTTGGAGAGGGTTCTGAGAAGAGCCATCAGAATGATTAAAGAATTAGAAAATGTGCCTTATAGGCTATAGACTCAAGGAGCTCAATCTATTTAGCTTAACAAAGAGAAGGTTAAGAGGTGAGTTAATCACAGTCTATAAATATCTACATAGGGAACAAAAATATTTAATAGTGGGCTGGACGTTCAAGTTACACAAATTTAGACTAGAAATAAGGTGTTCGATTTTTAACATTGAGTAATTAACCATTAGAACAACTTAGCAAGGGTCATGGTGGATTCTCCACAACTGATTTTTTTTAAAAAAAAAAGACTGGATAGGTTTCTAAAAGATTTGCTCCAAGAATTATTCTGGGGAAGTTCAATGTCCTGTATTATACGGGATAGATAATCGCAATGGTCCCTTCTGGCCTTGGAATCTATGAAACTATTTCCCCCCTGGGTGAATAAAAATCAATGATTTGGGGGATGAATTAAAAAAAAACAGGTTTTTTTTTTAATTTTGTTATTTAAATTATATTGAGTTTTTCTTTTTAAATGTAAACCTGTTTAAAATTAAATCTGAACTTAATACAAAATGTGTCAAGGCCTAAACTTACTATAATCTCTTTAAAAATTAAATAAAAAATATACTGAACATGAGCCTCTACCAAAAACTGAGTTAAAGGCTGCTTTTCTATATTAAAAAAATCATGTGAAACACTTCCAACTTTTGAAGTCAAGCTTTATAAACATGACACAATGTAGTAGTAAATAAGCAATATATCATTCACCATTTTCCTACATACTAAAAATTTACAATGAATAAGAATCTGAAAATATTAAGCTAAGTAATTGCTTAAATAAATAAATATATATAGTTATAGCATATGTTCCTAGGAAACAAAATGATGTTCCAAATCTAGTGTAAAGGCTCTATTCAGTTGTAAATCAACATGTTTTAATGGCTGTATCAACCAATGAAAGTGCACCTTTCTTTTGAAGATAACTGAAGTACAAATGGAAAAGTTGATTAAATTGCTGAATTAAAGTGAGGCTTTCTACTTGATTTAAATCATGATTTCACTATCAGATTGAAATTGCTTTGATTTAAATCAATCCACCCCACTTTCACCTAGATGCCACTGTATTAAGTTCATCTCATTTTCAAAGTTTCATAAAAGTCAGGCATTCCAAATGTTAAGGGCTCAATTCTACAGGTCCCATAAGAGTAAAATTCCTATTGAGTCCAGTGGGATTTTTGTCTTTACAAGGACTGCAGGTTCAAGCCCTCATGGCCACATTTCAGAGATTATGATCTCCTCTCTACAACAAGTCTCAATACAAACTGTAAAGCCAACCAGTAAGTCCTTCCTTGGAAAGCACAGTCCCTGGGGTAGAATAAAATGTCTTTACGACTTCACATTTCTATTCTAGTTGTGTTTGAAAATGTCCAGGGTTCCTATTTAAATTCCCTCACCAGTTTCTACTCGGTTTCTGACAATTTAATGTTTAGGATGGTGCCCATAGTAACAATAGTATGAGAAAATTTCAGCACAATAATCATTTACAAAAGTTTTCAAAGCACATTTTACATGGGTTGAAAAAAATTTACTTCTCTGAAATTACAGACAGGACTTGAGTTTCTTTCTTGAACATAAAGAATGTTGTTCACTGCTAAACTATAGCTTTACATGTGCTATAAGCAATGTTTAAACTCTAGTTCCTTTTGTCTAGTGATACCATGTATGCTCTCTCAGTAAGATTGTGAAACTTGCATTAAGCTGCAATTACTGCAATAATGCCAGAAAATCTTTCCTAAGGGAATAGTATAGTAAGTTCTTTGCAGCTGTAACCACAACTACCAAAATGTTTTAATCATGGAAAGCTTAAGTTGGTGTTTGTTATTCACCAAAAAGCATTATCAATATGAATAATTAAACCATTCCCAGGACTAGATGTTCCCCATTTCTACTGAGATTTGGGCATACAGACTTTAGTATTGGTTCCTTAGAAAAGGAGTCAAGTTCCTTTTTAGCTTACTTTAACCTCTCTACCTTCATCTGTAATATAAGGAAAGTGGGACAGATCTTGCAAGTTGCTTACTACAATTGTCTTTTTTTCACCTCTGGAGATGTTGATTTAAACTTTACCTAAAGTCACAAGAATTGTTTCATAATCTCAAACTGGTCCTTAAGACACATTTAAAAAAAAAAACAAACACACTACAGGTAAGATTTTCAAAGCTGTCCAAGACACTTAGTTACAAAACCCCCATTAATTTTGATGAGAAGCAAGGAGCTGAGTCCTCTAGTTCAGTGGTATCCAAACTTTTTTGATCGCACACTCCTATCAGTAAAACCTTTTTGAGCACGCACCTCCTGCCACCCCAAGCCAAAAAAAAAAAAAAAAAAAAAAAAGTCACCTAACTGCCGAAGCAGCACAAACCCCACTTTGGAGACCACTGCAGTAGGCTTTGGGGAAAAAATCTCACCCCCACATGCCTTGTCATAAGTAACAGGCAGTCAAGAACAACCCCTACAATGGATTAAGGAGGAGTACCACAGGATCCAAAGTAGTCCTAACAACATGGAGCCCTTGTGGCACCTTAGAGACTAACAAATTTATTTGGGCATAAGCTTTCGTGGGCTAACACCCACTTGCATCTGATGAATGGAGTGGAAAATACAGTGGCAGGTAGATATACACAGTACATTAAACAGCTACCACTCTGAAAGTAGTCCTAGCCACTCTTTCCTAACCAGAAGGTGGACTCTAGAAAGAAACTTTGAAAGATGAGGGGGAAGAGAGATGGTCCTCTGGACTCCTACAAAGGCACAGAAAGCTCCTCACTCGGGAAAATACACCTCTAGTAGTCTTCTCTCCACTCCTAACATAGATAACTCAGAGTCTCATACCCTACCACCCGCCTTTTACAGACTCCTGTGGCAAACATCAAATTCACTATCTGCCAAGGAAATGTTGCAGAGTGTCTCAGAAGACTCAGCCAAATGGGACACCTGTTCAGACATCCTATTGATGGGCACTTTCTAGACAGGCATACACAAAGACCCTTTAAGCCTCCAGACTCATCCATGTACAATACAACTAAAAATCTTAAATTTTAGACAAGTATTTCATAATTACTATGCAAGTATACTAACTCCGTTAGTCAAATAGTGTGGTCATCTTACATGTGTTTTTGGGAAGAGATGGTGTATTAAAGTATTACCTAAGCATGAAGCTGCAAAGTATAGCAAAATAAGATTTCATAAACCTATTTGAAATCAAAAATCAGAAAACTTAAAATATATTTTTTAAAACTGTACAGATTCCCTGCATAACGTGTGTAAAAAAAAAATGCCAGTTCAGAAATTTCAGCCCAAAATGGGTATCTACAGACAACTTTAAAACTCCAGAAAATAAGCGACAACAGAAACTGAAGAGAGCTGGTTTGTAAACATCTTTTCCTCCCAGTATTCTGATTAAACGGATCGTCAGGAAACAGCTAAGAATTTGTAGTAATAAAAACTTCTCTCCAATCTTAGTGCTATATTCCAGTGTTTGCTACCAAGATTATGTTTATTATACTAAGCTATATGGCCTCTACATTTTATCTCCTCTCTCCATTGCAACTTCCTTAGTTGGACAGACAAATCTCCATGGTAAGGTCACAAGTTATTTCAAATAAAAAGAACTGTCCCCTTATAGACTTTGTATCAGACTTAAACAATCCAAAATAGTTAAATTTACCAGAACACATTCCATGTGCTGTGAAAATCAAAGGCAGGAGGGATACTTGGACCACTTTCCAATTCGTTAGGAAATGTTCACTGAATTCAAATCTTACCCAATCAGTTCATAAAATATAAGGCAGTTTTCAATTTTACTTTTGTTGTTTAATAGCTCAGCCTGATGTCACTGTATAATATACAGTATGTTGTTCTTATTGAAAAATTTGGCTGCCTCAATATTAACATTGAGATGCTGAAAACAATACAATGTCCACAGGGGTATTCAGAACCTATTGAAAAACATAAACCATGAGCTAAAAGGTTTCTTACCATGATCTTGCTTACCCATTGCACTTAGATAATGATTAAAGGCTTGACAAGGGGGACTTGGAGTCTGCGTGGACTTGTCGCAACTCATAGGCGCAGGACTCCTGTCTGTGTCGAAAGAGAAATACCCACTGGAGGATCTAGACAGCAGTGAGGATCTTCTTACAAAGATGAAAAGTGGGGATCTGGTAGCAAATGGACTGGGGCTACTGGGTGGTGCAAATGGTCCCTGAGGGCTGCTGGGCGAAGAGCTCCCTGAGGGCTGCTGGGTGAAGTCCCCCTCACCTGAATGATTACCTTGATACTGTGTTTGTATAGAGGTAGGGGCCCCAGGTCTAAGATGCTGAGGCTGACTTGGCCTTTCAATTGACTGAAACTGTCCACCTTCTCTGTTGCACTCTGAATTTAGATCAGAAGATTGCTTTGCCATTTGGTCTTTTTTTCCTGCAAAGAGATAGGAAGACATTATGAGTAAGCTCTCCAGGCTTTATTATAATACTGTAATATCTAATAGGTTTTGCAATAAATTCTCAATGTCCTTACTTATATTGTTAGAATTCTAGCGGTATTGCATATGCCTTTCAGCTTACATTCTTCTTACTTTTAACCTACTCACTTCTTTCCCCACACCCCAAATACAATCCAGTGCTATCAGATCTATGGGTAGTTTCCTGTCCAGTGTTTCCACCCTTCCCAGGATACCTGCATCAAAAGTATAAACCGTGAAAAGCCTTTGTCCAAACAAAAGGAATTTAGTTTTAAAGTGGAATTTATCAGCCAGGCCATTACGCTCCAAATCTGTATGAAGCTTTGATTCAGTTAATTAAAAAAAAAAAAAGACCAATAAGCTCTGATTCCCTCAAGCGATTAAATAAAAGGCTCGGATACTGTGCTGAAATGCAAGAGTGAGGAGTATTTGCAGTGATTGTGCAGAGCCTCCTGGCCATGTTCCCTGTTCCAGCCCCATTGTTCTATCTAATGTGCTGATCACAGCAAGTCTGGAGGAGGTTTGGCAGCAGCAATCAGTTGTAGTAAGTGCGTCACAATAGAGTTTGTAGATTGCACAGGACTGGCTCTCCTTCACCCCCCTCCTTACCCTTTTAATGCTAACTCAACAAATCCTCCTTCCTACTACAAACTTCAAGGGAGAGGGGAGAACTAAAAACGTCAGCTTGAAAAACACTGCAACTTCCCCACCCAAACAAAGCAATAACGCTTTGTGAAAAATACCCCCGAGACAACCACACTAACACACACAGAGCCCAAACCCACAACTACAGCCTTTAGTACACAATGTCTCCGCGAATCCAGCGCCGGACTTCCTAAAACAACAGACTCCAGACTCATCTTTTTATTTATTTTTTTTTTGGGGGGGGGGTGGGCATTATACTGCAAACTCGCCCAGGAAAAACGCTCCGGGACCGCAGACTTCCTGCTGCCGCGCTGGGGCGATCCCGGCCGGGGGCGACAAGCAGGAACCGGCGGGAGCGACGCAGAAGCAGAACCCGAACCGAAGCGAAGCACAGCGGGGCAGAGCAGAAGCCCGGGGCCGCCCGCAGGCTCTGACCGGCCCCCCGCGGCCGGGTCCCGGCCCGCCCGCCCGGCCCCGCGGGGGTCCATAGGAAGGAGGGTCCCCCGCCCAGCCCAACAAAGGGAGGCAGGCGAGCGAGCCGGCGGGGGACCGCGGCCGCACAAAGGAGCCGCGGGGGCAGCCCCGGAGGCCCCGTCCCGCCTCACTCACCTTTTCGGCGCCCGCCTCCTCGCCCGAGAAACAAAACCGCCCCCCCGGGGGCCAACCGCCCGCTGCCACACGCGCCCTGCCCTGCCCCGCGGGACCCGGCCGTGCGCCCGCTCGGCTGCGCTCGCAGTGCACACTGCCCGTGCCGCCGGCCGGGGAGGGCGCTCCCGCCCCGCACGCAGCGCCCGCGGCCGCCATGCTTCCAATCCGGGCGCGGCGGGGGCGGGCCCGCGGCCTCCGGGCCTCCAATCCGGGCGCGGCGGGGGCGGGCCCGCTCCGCCCCGC